CGAGACAGTTACCGTCACTACCTCTCAAGGTTCCTAGATGGGCATTACAGACGACTGAGACGAGGCGTTAGCGACATCCACCAGGTGCTCTTTGCTAATCGATTAATTCGTTTTAAAATTAATTTTCATGACTTTTCTAACAAGATATTGGTGTGTTCGATGTGATACTGCTTCTTTGAACACACTTAGAACAAAAAATGAGCGCCCAAATTTCGTTTTAGTATTCCTTTAAGGTCACATTACGTCAATTTCACCGCTAAATTCAGCGGAAACATTTCCCCGCTAAATTTAGCGGAAAAACTTCCCCGCTAAATTTAGCGGAAACATTTCCCGCTAACTTTTTCGGGGAAACGTCCCATAGTGCAACACGCTGTGACGCCGACGTCGACGCCGACGGTAACGGCAACGGCGACGCCGGCATCGACGCCGCTGAACCCGTAAACGGGAAACTAGTCGAGCTGCGCTCTAAAGGAAAGGAGAAATATTTTGTGAGTCGACGTCCCCTAAGCCTAATATCGTGAAAAAAGTATTCGGCATTGTGGATGCATCCCGGGGCGGATGCAGGAATTTCCTGAGGGGGGGGGGATCAGGTGTTGGTCAGCGTACCATTTATTTAGGAACCCCCTCCCCCTCTCCCTCGTTTCACGCCCTAAATTTTACACATGCATAAATCAAGAGGGGGGTCAGGACATCCGGACCCCCCTCTAAATCCGCCCCTGGACGCATCTAGCGTTTATATCAGTGAGTAATACTTGTGAGCAAGAAAGAAAACGATGTGATCTGTCTTGCTGACAAGTTTGTTTCACCAAAAACAAATTCTACAGACACCCACAATCTCATTTCTTGTTTCGGGAATGTTCAAGTGGACGTAGTCTTACCAAAATATTTCATCTTTATACATATAGGGTGTTTCAGAAAACGCAGGCCAAATCGTTCCTGCGAAATTCTTTCTGAATTCCCCCTAACGCCAACTTTCTACAAGAGATATATAGACGATATCTTTCTTATTTGGACACACAGCGAGGAGGAACTGCTGGATTTCATAGGCTGTTACAATTCTGTACACCCGAACATTAACTTCACTTACCCCTACTCTCAAACGGATATTAACTTCTTAGATGTAACTGTAAAAATTGAAAATGGTGAACTCTCCACAAATCTCTACCGTAAACCGACAGATCGACAACATTATCTTCATTACCAGAGCGACCACCCCCGGTATTGTAAAAACAGCGTCCCCTACAGCCAAGCCCACCGTTTCAAACGGATTTGCACGAAAGAGGAAGATTTTGATGCGAGCGCCCAGAACCTAAAGACAATGCTGGGAAAACAAAAATATCCATTACGTGTAATTGACGACGCAATTCAAAAAGCTAAACAATTGAACCGCGAGGACTTAATTGCGAACCGGCCCCCCAAACCCGACCTACAACGCACGAATCTATGCCTAACTTACAGCACAAACTTTCCTAATGTAAACGGTATACTGAGACGGCACTATAATATTCTAGAACAAAGCGAACGTCTTAAACGTGCGTTTCCGTCCGCCCCCGGTGTGGTCTACAGACGATCACGTAACCTAAGAGACTCACTTGTAAACTCTCGACTGAATTCGTCATTGTCAAATGACGAATGCAAGCCGTGCAAGAAACCGGGATGTCTGGTCTGCAAACAAATGCAACATACTGGCACCGCCAGCAGCACACAATCGCAATTCTGCTTAAAAATTCGAGGGAACCTGACGTGTGACTCTTCAAATGTGGTTTATTTGCTTGAGTGCACTGTCTGCAAAATGCAATATATAGGGCAAACGAAGAGAGCATTCAGGGAACGCTTTAATAATCACAAATCTCATTCAAAATCGCTCCCAAGCCTATCTCTTTCAAAACACCTTAGCCTCCCACATCATTCGTTCGGGAAACTTTCGGTAACGATCCTTGAAACCGGATTTAAGTCAGACCGCGAACGGGAGCAGCGCGAATCGTATCTCATATACCGATTCAACACGATCGATAAAGGAATAAACGAAAATCCAGGGACACTTGCAGCGATTAAAACGTTGTCTAAGAATTAACAGGGATCACCATTCTCACCCTGACCAAGTGGCACTGCATTGGCTGGTGGAATTGGACTATTATTTTGTTTGTGTGTGTGTGTGTTTGTACGAAACAGCGAGCCTTCCACACGCGCTTCTGTGCACATTGCGTCCTTTTTCGTTGGTCTACCCACTCATATGCGAGATCCGCTAATATTCAATTTTCATTTCTTTTCATTGAAAGGCGAAGGAAACCTGCGCCTTCCGCGCTATGCTGTCCGGCTGCACACAATGTTACTCGGTCTTGACCCGAGGCATGCGTATTTATTTGTATTTATTTTAAGTTTTACTTTAATGTTTTATCTTTTAAATTTGTATTTTTAATTCTCTGTCCGGTACGACGACAGCTTTGCAACTATCCGGGGGTATTCGCCCCACCCTCCCCTGCGCCCCCCCCCCCCTGCCCCGCGATCTGCTCCTTGCTCCCCTCTCCCCTCTCTTCCGCGGCGTGCGGCGCCCGAGGGGACGAGGGGTGACCGTCGCGGAGACGGACGCCCACATCGGCTTAGCCTTACGGACAATTAGTACCGAAGATGTCGTTCCAGAGCCAGTGCCGTCCGTTTATGACCTATTGTACCCACCGCAGTGTCGGAGATTTCATATACGCCTCTTTAGCTTTGAAACCCGCCGCCCTAACGTGGGAACGCGCTCAAATACAACTTTTTTTTTTTTAGGTCTTTTTACTTTTATTTTTCGTGACGTCACGTCCTCCTCGCCCCATTGGCCCCTTACTGCTTTGCACAGTCTGATGCCCTCACATGTATGCCATCTCCTGACGAAGCCGAGCCTCTCGGCGAAACTGTCGAAATACATGCAATAAACTCCTAGCATAGCAACTCCGCAAGTACGGATCTCTGACTTATTACATTTTCCCGGTCCATTGTTCTCAAGCTACTCTGCCTCACCTATATATATATATATATATATATATATATATATATACAACGGGCATGGTGGCGGGAGGCCGAAGGCGAGGGTATATAACTGAGAAGAAAAGACCCTTAGTGAAAACAGCAACAACGGACGATTTATTCTTCTTTATTCTTATATATATATACACAAGGGTGTTTTTCGTTTTTTTTAAGCTTAACAGAATTTTTAAAAACAAACCATGAAAGCTAGGTTAATCCGGTCTGTGCAGGTGAGTTGTGCGGCCAGGGGGACATAGTATAGGGGGCTAATCGTCATGATCAAATTAATTAAAATTCGTTAATTAACTTTTTAATTAATGAAAATAGTCATATAGTTCCAATTAGAAACTTGCTCGGCGTCATCGAAAACCGCTAAATCAGTAATTTTCAGAAAGACTTTGAACGCGTGAGAAGCGTAGTAGTGCACTAAAGTTACCGCTCGTGGAGCAAGTACAAGGTTGGGGCTAGACAAGAGTCGGAAAAATTGCGCGGACGCCTTATTGCAACCGCTAGCTTTGTACGTTCTCCACGAGCGCTAACTTTAGTGCACTACTACGCTTCTCACGCGCTCAATATCTTTCTGAAAATTATTGATTTAGTGGTTTTTGATGACGCTGAGCAAGTTTCTAATTGTAACTATATGTATATTTTCATTCATTAAAAAGTTCATTAAAAAATTTTAACTAATTAGCCGACTGATCTTTACAATTAGCCTCCTATATTATGTCCCCCTGGCAGTATAACTCATTTGCGCAGACCGCATTATTCTAGCTTTCGTGTTTTTTTTTTAATTCTTTTAAGCTTAAAAAAAACACCCTGTACATATAATAATATATATACACTAGTGACAAACTGTTAGCAACTGTGAATGTCTATACTTTTGTGTGTATAGACGTTTCTGCCAGTTGCCTAGTCCTGTATCAACAAGCAGCTTTCTTAGGCCAGCACATTAGCACGTACTATATTTAACGCGCGAATGAAGTCTTTTGTGTTCTATTTTATTTATATGCAGTAGATGACTCCTAAAAGCGTCGTACCTTGTCGCAGCGTTCAGATAACGAAATAAAAAAAGTGGCAAATTGTTCTAAGTGAGAAAGCAGAAAAACAAAATCAGAACACTAAACCCCGGTCTTACTAATGATCTGGCCTCCATCCAACGTGATGACAAATACCTCATTAGCCTTTTTTTTTTTTTTTTAAATTTCGGTAAGGTTCACTCAAATTTTAGCTAACGGTTTGTTTTCCTTTTATGGGTACGCTCGTAGGTGCGTCTTGGCTAGGGTAACCCGTGACCACAGGCGTAGACTACGGGGAGGCATCGGGGCTCGTGCCACCCCCCCCCCCCCCCCCGGTAATGATCCCTACCGAGACGCTGTTTACATGCCATGTGACGAGCTTCTAGTAGTGGCATGTAAACAAAATAACGCACACAGCGACGGACATATGGCGATATACATACGCTGTAAAATGTACCCCCTAAAATAAACTACTGATAATGGCCGGTGTAAAAACAATTGCGCGGAAAAGCACCCCCCCCCCCCCCCCCCCCCGGGAAAATGGAAAGTCTACGTCGCTGCCAGTGACATAATATGTTCTCAATTTTTAGACGGTTATTCGTTCTTTTTCATTGGCTGCTCCGTACTCGTCAACCTCTGAGCTTCTTAACAGGCTAAAAGGCGCGAACAAAACAGGACGAAAAAACACACACGTACGACACAGACAGGTGCCATAACTCTTAAGTTGTAAGTGACTATTCATAAACCCCTTCTTGAATTATCCTTTCCATAAAACCCACACGAACATTTCATGGCTATCAACTGTAGATCTAGAAACTACAACCTTAAATGATCATGTGACCAGACCGGAACCTCAACTGCGGTGCTATCCTATAAATAAGCTCCAGCATCTTACTTGGGAAGTACTCATTTGTAGCAAATCCTAGAAATGTTTTAAAAATACAACAAGCCAATTATTCAACAAAACAGGCAACTTAC